AGTAGTGTTCATGTTAGTCTCTCTAGTATACAGATATATATATATTTTAACTTAAGAGCTGGCAATTTAGTCAGTTTTCAACCCAAATCCCGACCTAGTGTTTGGCATGCTGACATAGTCGCTATAAAGCAGCGTGCTTCAACTGCCGACTGGTCAGTCAATATTGTCTTATCCATTGAAGATGAATGCGATAGATTTAAGAATACACTTGAGAGGGTTACCACTGATTTCATTCCCTGGAGGGTTCCTAAAAGACCAACAAATCGGCCACCATGGACAAATAGACAGGCTGTAACACTCCTAAGACGGAGAAAAAGGTTCTGGAATCTCTTTGTTTCTACTGGGCTACAGCAGTTCCGGCTGAAATACTAAGAAACCAGAAACCAGTGTAAAACTTTGATTCACTAGTCAAGGATAGCTTACGAAACCCAGTTAGTTAGAAGTTCACCAGGCTGCCCAAAAAGACTCTTCTCATATATCAAGAGAAGAACACGTAAGAGTGATGCTATCCCACCTCGTATGACCAGACAAACATGGCTGAGGATAACTTGACTAAGGCTGAGGCTTTGTCCAAGCACTTTAGTCAAGTATTCTCTGATAATATTGATGCCAGCTTTGTAACTTTTCCAGAAGGTAACTTTAAAATGGCACCCTTATACGTTGGAAAGGATACTGTCCTAAAGTGGCTTCTAAGGCTCAATCCTGGTAAGTCCAGTGGCCCTGATGAACTCTACCCACGTATATTAACAACATTGGCTGAAAACATAGCCCAGCCATTGTCGGTAATCTTCAATATGTCTCTGGACCAGTCTAAATGTCCAAGAGACTGGAAAGATGCCATCATTAGTCCGGTCTTCAAAACCGGATCTAGAAATTTAGTTCAGAACTATCGTCCTGTTAGTTTGACTAGTATTGTTGTTAAACTACTAGAAAGAATAATTCGTGATGCTATCATTCAGTTCATTGAAGGGAACAAACTTTTCCCTGTGGAACAGCATGGTTTTAGAGCAGGTCATTCTTGCTTGACCAAACTTCTTTTGGCCAGAGAAAGTTGAGCAAGCTCAGCTGATGTTAATATACCGGTGGATGCCATATTCATCGACCTTAGCAAGGCGTTTGACAGGGTTTCTCACTCAGGTCTTCTAGTAAAGTTAGGTAGTATGGGAATCAATAAAGTGGTTGCCGACTGGATTCAAGACTTTCTAAAGGACAGAAGACAAAGAGTACGAGTTAACGGGGTTTTATCAACATGAGAATCAGTCAAGAGTGGCGCTCCTCAGGCCCACTTCTTTTCCTGACTTTTGTTAATGAGATTCCATCGGTAGTTAGGTCATCCTGCTTACTGTTTGCTGACGACATCAAGATATGGAGGGCTTTACACGATGACAGTGATCAACTTGCTTTGCAGGAAGATTTAAACTTGTTAAGTGATTGGTGTAAGCACTGGGCCTTGGAGATTAACTTAAGCAAGAGTGTAGTTATGCATGTATCTCATAGTCACGTGCACAATTACTCAATGAATGGCATTACTCTCCCAGTGGTCACTGAGTACAAGGACTTGGGAGTGGTTGTGCAGCATGACTTGAAAACAGCAACAAACTATAGAGCTGCAGCCACTAAGGGTTTTCGAATATTATGAGCCATACGCAAGGCTTTTGCGAATTTTGACGCTGAAATATTTCGTATATTACATCCGACTTATATCAGACCTCATTTGGAATATGGGATACAGGCAGCGAGCCCGTGTTTCAAATACGAAATAGACTTACTAGAAAGGGTGCAAAGAGTAGGAACTAAGCTAATAAAGGGTTTCTCAACCCTCTCATATGAAGAGAGGTTAAGTCGACTGGGTTTATTTCCACTGTCATACAGACGACTTAGGGGTGACCCAATAATAGCATACCGTATCCTAGGAAATGATTTTGGAGCAAATTTATCTAATTTATTTCTTCCTTCTAGCACCAACCAATTGCGAGGACATCACCTCAAGGTTCAAAAACCACGGTCGAATCGTCTGTGTTTAGAGATCCGTTTTTCGCATCGAATTGTGAACCATTGGAACTCCCTACCGGAACACGTCGTATCAGCGCCATCCGTTGATTCATTCAAGGTGAGATTGGACCTCCTGTGTGTAACAAATCGAAAGGATCAACACAGGCACATAGCCTACTATCCTAAATAAATTGTAAACTGTAAACTATATGCATATCAGAATATTTACAGGGGTATTCTAGAGTTACGAATCAACATTGTTGAGTGAAAAGAGGTATAAAATCAATGGCATATTTACTTAACGGTTAAATAGTTAATTCAGTAGAAGAGGTCAGAAGACAGCCCAGTCAGGAGTATAGATAAACACAAAATAAAGAATAGGGAATTATATTGTCAAAACACAGAATATAACTGAAAAATAACTTATAGTATATTTGCCATAGTAGTAAGGTAAGCTTAACAACGTTGGTTTCCTTCTGAATGCATAAATTCAGTTTCCAGTGGTTTGATGGCAATCGCTTCAGTGAAACTTAGCAACAACTAACTGATGATTACTAAGAAAAACAAAATGTAATTTAACAGCGGGAAAATTTTTCTCACGATGAAGTCATCTTCAAAGGACAAACTGCGGTGTGTGATGGGATTCAAACTTTGACCCCACTGGATCACAGTCAGGTGTTAGAAGTAACAAACTGTATCTTTAATGAAAACTAGAGCAATGCTTTTTTGTCTCACTGTATGTCATTACTTATATTCCACTAGTTTTCAGAACTTTTCCATACACTATTGAGATCGAAAATGGTTGACAATAAAACCTTTCAGATTATTCTGATCCTTTGTCAACATATAGAACGTTTAATTATGAATCTATGAATATACAATAAAGTTTCTCATTATTTCTTATCCTCAAAATAAATAAAATCTTAGCAAATCGAAATTAGCGTCTGTCCGCCGTCCTGATAGTAACAGTGTTTTGCGTGTTAAATAAGTGTGAATAGTGCGTAATTGCGAAGAGTACGAACAAAATCAACCAATCTTTACTTGGTATCTACCCTTTTCACGAGCTGACTTGCAGTTCCACCCTGATCTTTACTGTTAGTATTATTGTTAAGTTATAATTTAGGGAAAAGGTTACGTTTAGGGCTAGATAACAATTCGGAGGTTAGTGCCACATTTTTAATCAATTCACTAAAATCTATATTTCCTACCCGTTTTAAAGATTATTACCCTGAATAAACTGATTCTTCTTCACTTATTCTTTTTAAATGCATTTTAGTAATCACTAATTTTTCTTTATCATGATACTTCTGTGATTAGTACTTCAAGACCATTTGCCAATTAGCCGAGTTTGTTTGTTATTTTTATAGTTGCCGATAATTGTTTTGATGGGATGGGGCCCAGTGAGTAAGTTCCGACGAAGATAAGATATTATCATAATAAAACAGAAAATTTTTCTAAGAAGTCAGAAGACTATTTCAAAATGCAGGTATTATTATTATGGAGAATTTAAATTATATGAATATCAGTAAGGAAATAAACCCTAAAAAAGACTGTTGACTTCACTACATTTTTATTGGATATGATCAAATAAAAAACCTAATAGCCCGACTAGAACATTTGTAAACAGTTAACAAAGCACATAGAACATAAAAGACAGTCTATATAAGGAAGCTTTCCTCTTTGGCATCTAAAGAAATGCTTCTAGTAAACATCATTTTTCTAGGCAATTTGAATCAACTCCAGTGTAATAAATGAAAAATAAGGGCTTCAGAGCATATTCCTAAATAGCTTCAGAAGCAAATGGAACTCCCAGAAACCAATAATGGTGAGAACAGGATATCTAACCCTTCTATTGTGAAACATATTATAGAGACAGGATATAAAATTGACGCTAACACATCCTTTAAACCTATCGTTAAAACGTGTTTGAGACGTATCCTAAGGTTTGTGTAAGCCCTAGTTGGTAATTAGGAAGTTTAAACCACTTTTGTCCATTCAAAAACAATTCGTCATTGCATTAAACCTTCCTTGGTAAACTTCGTTTAGACATCATAGAAGATGTACTATTACCTCTGTTATTTTGACCTTCATTATATCCTTTAAACTTGACCTAAGTCTGTTTCATATATATTCCTGTGACAAGTCCGTGAGTGAACAGATTGTTAGAAATGTGTTGTGTAAATAAATTGCACGATTCAGAGAAATTACGTCTTACTACTACTCATAAAGGGAACTAATTTTTCCAAATAACATAGTACTTTGCGTAAACATCAACATCATCTCCAAAAATAGTTTAACCATGATATCAGTTAGGAAAGTGGATAATAAGAAAATAAGAAAACCCCCAAAACACTTTTAGAATAGACCAATTAAATTGAAGTGCTGATATATGTTAACTCGAATTTCGCATATTAATCTGACATGAATAACTCCTAAAAATAAATTGAATTACTGAAAACTCTCCTCATTTACAAGAATTCGAATTATAAAATAAGTTAGTATCTGTTTTAGTCTTGAAATAAGTGATGATAGTAGGAACTCTTGACTGCACAAAACCAATTATAAAGTATTCATTTAGAAAAGCATTCATCCTAGTTGTTTTGCTGGATCACGAAAAAAGAACTCATGTCAAATCCATCATTGTGTGTAAACCATTGAAATATAGTTATACTTTATTTGATCTATTCCACAATGCTCAAACATTTTACTGACATCAATTAAGATTTCGCATTTTGCTGGTTGATTTAAAGATGCTTGTCTCCAACCATGAGGCAGACTGTGACACCATGAATATTTACAGATGGCCAAAGCGATACAAAAATTATGATGAAAATATTTAGTATGAAATGAAATATATGCTAGCATTAGGTAGCACAAAGTATCAGCAGTTTTCATAGCTTCGTGACACGAATAAAAATAACGAGGATTAATAACAGTTTTAAGAGGTATTTTAGCAGCATTAAAACAGGGGGAAAAGTAAACAAGCACCCTAACGAAGTAAAACTCACTTGTTGAAATACACTCATATTCCACAAATAATGTTGGCTCGGCTAGATTGTCACTGATAAATGAGCATTCCCTTGATAACAATTCCGCAGACAATTCTGATGAATAATGAACAGAGCTTTTGCAAAGTGAATGACCAGAGCATCTTCTAGAAATGTCAGCAGTCACATCAATCCAGCAGTCTTTAGCATTGGGTGAACGGCATTTTTTCGTTGAATTCGACACTAATAAAATATCTCTAAAGTATCCAAAATGGGCTTCATGAATAACGATAGATTTTTCTGCGCCACACTGTATATGCAAAGATTCATTATAACAAGATAATTCCCATTCTATAAAATTTCAGATGAATTAGTGAGGAAATTACTAATTACCAGCTGAGACTTCAAAAATTATGCATATGCAAATCCATACTTGGTATGCAGACACAATACCAAGAAGCATACTTCATATCTTCAAAATAGCATTTACACAAACATTTTGAAGTTGTGCCATCAAATGAACTTCATGTATAAATATTCGCGATAGAGTAAACAAACAACATTTTCAACACAGGTCTCTCAGTGTATTTTAATCACTGGTAGTCTGATTGGGATTTTTTCTATCTTTTTACGAAATGAATATAATTGTCAAGATATATGCAGGTTTTTTATTCACAAATAGCTGTGGATTCTGAAATTTCTAGTTCGGATTATTTGAAGGTAATATAGGTCTGTACTAATCCTTTTGATTTGCTCTACAGTAAAGGTCCGATTTTACTCTGAGCTAGCCAAGAGTTGATGAAATGACATGCTCCATTATAAATTCTCATTGATTCACAAATCCATGAAAGCAACCAACTTTTGTCCATGAATGATTCGATCATAGGGTTTCACATTTAAGGTGATATCCCTGAGGCTGACCCATTCCAGAGAGGAGAAATAGAGAGGGTAAATTATTCCCCAAATTACTTTATAGCATATGGAATTCTAGAATGCAGTCAGCTGTCAGACCTCGATACGACAGTGGGAATAAAACCATTAGATTTCACCTCTTCATGTGCACCTCTTCATAACGTGAGAGTTTAGGAGGAATTTGGTAACCGAACATACCGAAATACACCACTTGTCACATTTGCAAACTCCTAAGAACAATTCACGCCGGAAAGCAAATGAAACACGAAGTTATACTAACAACTACACTCATAATAGAAAAAAGACAGGACTCCCATTCGTATAATGACAGAAGGCAAGAGTCAGGCAACAGATCGTTTATTAAAGAAATCAACAGATATTTATAGATTTTCATGTACATTATTATAGATTAATTGTTAGCAGACAACACACTCTTCTGATTGGTTGTTTCTTCACAGAAAATTAATCTTTCATCTCTTTCTGGCTGTTTCTTGAAGGTCGGATCATTTATCTGCCAATTGTATCCGCCTACACAAAGTCTGCTGTGATTGGTTGTTGAAGCGGTCTTTATTCTTGTTTTCACATGACCAATATTAGGGACGTAAACACTGACGTAAATTGCTGTTTATCAATTCGGCTAGCGGCCAGCTCTCACCACATATGCACTCTAACTTGGCACATGCTCGCATAATATACCAAGTCACACTAAAGCTCACACTTATAACTGGAGTACTTACATCCCCACTCTTAATGCTCGAAGGAAAAATCTCAGGGCCTAGTCACCAACTATTCTGAACGTTAAAAATATGCCACATAAACAAACTTTGACAGACAAACAAACAAACTATGGCACAAGTCTTCCGGGAATTAAACCACGGTGAAGTAGTGCAAATATAATGATAATAGGTACACATAGGATGTCTCGAAACATTAGGCAGATTAATAAGTTATGGGTGCCGCAGGGTACCAAGAATTGTTTATCCCTGTCACCGCTGACCAAACAACTGGTTGGGATGTTAATTCTTCTGAACTCGAACCACTAGTGTTGGCTGCCTATCGAGAAGGAAACGGGTACAGTCTAGTGCACACGGAATTATCAATCACATCCAATGCTTGTACAAAAATGGGCCCAAATAAAAACTCACACCCAAGCCTCCAACTCACTTAATCCTAGAACTACCTTATCCTGTACTGAATCTAATAATACGACACCTTATTCACTAAAAGAAGTAGAGAGTAGCTCCACAGACACAGGTTAACATGGTCCTCACACTAATTGCAACACAGGGTTGTTATACCACGCAGAACCAGTGGATGTCGATTAACGAGCTTAAATACTTCAAACGTTATTTCAATTCTCAAATTTACCTAACCCTTATTAATGCTAGGTTTATCCCAAACATACTACCGATGCTCAAGACATACACACTCAGTCTCGGTGTCTCTCTAATATACCAGACGACGAGGTAAGCTCCGATGTGACAGGAGCGGTTGTGAGAGAGAAGTTCGCCTTATGTACTTCCTGAGCACACTTGTTGTGATACAGCTAAAAAATACGTAACTCGACAACACTCACAACACTCTCTGAGTCAAAGTGCACTTCAGAAATGCCAAAGCACTAGTTGGATGTAATTACAGAGCGTCCGGCAACTTTAGTGGTTACGAGACAACTCATTAATGCACAGAAGTGTCCATTCTTCCATACGAGCGTAAGATCATAAGTGGTGACTCCTATCTAACGAAATCAATTGGGACCCACTAATAGGCCCAGCTAAATATGACAAGCTCTTGGGCACACTGGACATTTTCAGCTGGAAACAAACTGTCACTATCCCTGCAAAAGGTGACAACGCACTACATTTAATATCCTGCCACAACATACGTCACCCCTCAGTCCTAGTGAATTCTAAGTTTTCAGGTAGCTAACACAAGGCAGTACTGTATGCGCTTCTACTTCTGCTGAGTAGCAATACAGCTTATACCTCCACTTCACAATAAATAACATATAGTAACTGTAGTAAGGCAAACTGGGCTCTCGTGATATCAGCGCCAAGATTATTTTCGTAACTGCCCTATTCCCATGTAACAACAGAAGGCAAGGGTCAGGCAACAGATCATTTATTAGGGAAATCAACGCATATTTATGTATGTTTTCATGTACATTACTATGGACACGTAAACAAACAAACACAGTGTTCCGATTGGTTGTTTCTCACGACAAATCTTGGGAACGTAAATATTGACGTAAATTACTGTCTACCAATTTGGCTAGTAGACAGCTCTCACCACACCCACAGGACCTTACAATCTTTCTCCATAACGTGGACATATACTTACCGATTTCTGGAATACTGAAGTGGTCATTAACCCACCCCTTAACTATAAATTATATTGGCTGCTACCCCAGCTTCTATCTATCTATCACCGCCAGTTATCAAGTTTGGATTCACTTTTTCTCAGGGCTTATCCTCCTTTTTACAACTGAAGAAAAACCCAGTTTAAAAGGAAACTATGGAGAAGTTCATTATTGTCAGGTTTTCATATCTGAATCAGTTTGCGGGATAGTTTATGTATAGTCTGTATTTCATGGTTTAATACTTTTGACTATTTGTTCTTTATAGGCAGTAAAACTCCATACTATGCCTATAATAGTACTTAGTCTGTATTTCCACTCGATATACTGTTTCTACATATACCTGTTTTCGTTTTTGCTCAGTTTCTACTTGAAACCATACCGATCCGCGCGCAACAAGGGCACAACGTAATAAACGAGTACTTTCTATTCGTAAGAACAGCTTAGGTCACTCGGCTATCAAGATAAGCACATCACTACACGTTAAAACGTAGCCCTAACAATGTCCCCGAAGTCATTGTGCCCGACTTGCTATCAGAGATATAAGCAACTGCTAAACCAAACAAGTTGGACCTTATTTCTCTAGGAAACTCTGTGGAGGAATTCAATGGGGATCTAAATACTATTAGAGCCGTTACTGCTTCTTTGTAACCCTACTCACGATACCAATCCAGAAAGTCTGCTGAAGTCTGAGTGTGTATTAGACTTTATGGAGAATGAAGTGACTAAACGAATCATGTCTTCCTACAATGTTCCCGCATACAATCTACCTGATGGAATGTCACTGGAAAAATTTGAGTGACATGTCTCAAAGTGGGCGGCATGCCATCAGCAAATTGCCACCTAATCAGGCTCAGGAAAAAATCAGGAAAGTATACTTGTCCTGTGCTATTTAAATTCAGTAGTCCTAATGATACTAGGAAATTGCAGTCGTTTAAAAAGCTGATTAGTTCATCTACACCTTATAGTAAATTTAAACTTGGTCATGACCTAACGCCATGTCAAATACGTAGTCGTGCAAGTGTATTAAGTGTCGCAAATACCCACCTAACCGCAAAACTTCCTGCAAAAGATACCGTCGCCTTACATTAAACTAAACCTGATGCTCCAACAATGAAGCGACTATGGTCATAGACTCAGTTGCATCTTTAGAGTAATGCTCACTTAACACGTCGTCACCGTCAGCTAGTAGAGCCACTACCAATGTTTCGCAGAAGGCTACGCTCGAGCATGTACCATTAAATACAACGACTCCAAGTAGCACTCAGACTAGTGTGCATAAAAAACGAAGTGACGTAACTCTACCATCCAGAATACCTGTATTAAAATCTGTTACTGATAGTTATGCCAGCAGCTAGCCCTATACCCCAACTTAAGCAAATCCAATCCTACCATTAACCAAGGGAAGCTGAATAAGTCTTCATAATTTTTTGAACAGACATCAGTGAAAAGAGAGATAACCCGGCGATACATCCAACACCGAACAAATCTTCATCCGATAGACGCAATATACGCTATCTCTCTGAGCGCTCTAAAACTAAGTCGAAGGCCTACCGGCAGGCACACACCTACCCCGACACAACTCTCCTATCTATGGCTAATATAGACGAGAATGTGGTCGAGGGACCTCTACAACAAGTAACAAGTGGGTTGGGCTTGTTTCCTAAAGGTGGCCTTCTGACTCACCACATCCTCCAAAACCACCGGATACAGACTACGCAGGACCATCGATGGACTAATATCCACGAAAATTACTTAAACACACAAAATATTAGTAATGGCTGCGATGCATGTAACCTCACTCTAGCATGCTATCCACAAAAAATACCTACCTCCCATTCATCCAATCTAAATTTTCGCGGCCAACACGAAATCTCAGCCTCAATATTAATGCAAATAGCACACATACTTTCAAGTCACTTGTCTCCATAAGGGAGGGCGATGCATCTCAGTCAGGGCACTATGAACACTTCACACCCTCCAAGGCAACCAACGATAGCACTTCTCTCTGCGTTGGTACTGGTGAAGTGCTCCTTACCAGCACTGACAATAAGTTGCCGCCATCTAGGTGCGCACCCATCAAACAATCTACTCCAGACGCTATGAAGCATGAGGATAACGTTTTTAAAGATATATGCGATTTCACCATCATTCCTAACTCTCTCTCACCCTTTCGCATTCATATCCGCTACTTACTC